TCCTGAACTATTCTAGTTGAATGACAAAAGTGTACGTTATTATACGCTGGTAGAGAGAACTGCATTTATATCGTAAGGCCAAATTCATTACTTTCTAACGATAATTAGACTAATGTAAGGCAGAATGTAAACAGAAAAAACAACACACAGCAAAAATAACTCGGTTTCCGCAATGCGGAAACCTGGTAGAAAGTGGACTGAAACTTAAGTTTCCACCTAGAATCCAGTGAGTTTCCGTTCTTTTACATTCAGTTTCCGCAATAACGGAAACTTACAATTACCCACTTTCTAAGGGTTTCCGCAAGGTTTCCGTTACCCACACTCCAACAGGATTCCGCAAGGTATCCGTTACCCACACTCCAAGAAGTTTCCGTTGAGTTTCAGTTAACTTTGAATCCATCAGGTTTCCGCAAGGTTTCAGTTATTAAGACTCCAACAGGTTTCTGCATAGTTTCAGTTATCAACAATCCGACATAGTTTCCGCATAGTTTCAGTTCCCAACAATCCGACATAGTTTCGCGCATGGTTTCAGTTACCAACAATCCGACAAGGTTTGATAGTTTCAGTTACCGGTTTCAATTTCAGGTTCACAGGTTTTCATATGCGTTTCAAAGAGCTAAATGTAAACATTCTTCTTTATTTATATCATAAACTCTTGTTAAAAACAATATAAGCAATTTGTTATTATCATGACATTTACTAAAAAGAAAAACAGAATATATAATAAGATTCATTGTTTTATTTTCTCAACATGGTATGGATTAGCATTTAAGGCAAATAAAGATCATACACTTATAACTAGTAATATAAGCACTAAAGAACAGGGCAAAACATGTTGGCATAGCTCAATCCAGTTTTAGAAATCATATATCATTTATAACAAAGTTGTAATTTTTCATCAGTTAAACTTTCATTCACTTATTATCTTGAAATAGCATGTTAGATACAGAAATTTATTTCTAAAATCATGCTAATGATGAAAAAATAACAATAACATACAACTTAACACAGTAATAAAACATAGCTGCATCGGACAATATTTGCACGCCTTGGCATTCAGCCACACACTCTATGTCACAACTATCGCCAAACATCCACTATGATATACAATAACAACATACAGCTTACAATACAAAAATAAAATAAAAATTACATTATGAAATTGAAAATAAATTCAATTAAATTGCAAGAGCTGGTCAGTGGGCCCTGTAAGGGGCATCCCTGAGCGGAGATCCTGTTACTTTGGTTGGATGCCTCATCCTCTTCCTCCTGTTGGCCTTGACGAGCAGTGGAGGTGTAGATTCTTTCCAAGTCCAGTGTCGTCGTGTATGCCATAATCTTGCTGGACTCACAGACAAAGGGGACGGAATGCAACTAATTGACGTCATCTTCGTCACTCACGACTGGTGATGTCATGTCTATGGTGAGTGTTGTCGCTACCTTTTCTATCGTCTATCTGGCCAATCAATAGATGCAAAGTCTGTTTGGGCGTTGTGCAAGTTTCTGAAAATGGCAGGTTATAACGAATTACTAGGTTATTTTATGAATTACACAAACATCAATCAACAAGAAACTGACAATGCCAAGGATGATTTAAAATGAGTAATCCACAAGTAAGTTTGAATAAAAGAGAACCAAATTGAACAATCACACTTTGCACTAGTTTTCTCAAAACTCAAATTATGCAATTCATCACACTTCATTGACGGAATGTAATATCTTATTTTCTAAAGAGGACACAGAATCTATACAAACTTTTGCTCTGGAGTTACATGCTTCCCAGACCAGAGTTAGTAATATGTTTATATAATATCTGAACATTTATTGCATTTTTCTATGTAGTAATAATGGTACTAGTAATAGATTTTCATCAACGTTGTGGTGTCCACCGCCGCGATGTTGCTGGAATATTGCTAAAGCGGCGTAAACCAAACTCAGTCAGGCAGTTGTATTGTTGAAGGCACCAAGTATATTCACCCGGTAGTGACTGCATGTTTTACACCATTACGTCTTTGAGGTGTATTTAGAAGTGAATATTACAAGACACGATGTTTCCGGATGTCAAGGTCTTTATTATGTGAAAGCACAATGTTTCGGGTGCTGCTTACACCTGACGAAGGGGTAAGCATTCACTCTGGAGCTTATGTTTTCACATAATAAAGGAGTTGACATCCATAAACAATCTCTACTCTATTAATTGGAAATAATTTACTACTTATAATGAAAGTCACTACAGATAGGTCAAAATTACCTTCACACATGTTTCAGCTGACCATCCTTGGTCATTCGTTATACTGAGTCTGCAGACTCATCATCAGCTGAAAAAAAATAAACAATAACACGTTACTTTTCTTTGCATTTCTCCATTCATTCATTTGAGGTTTAACAAACCCCCAAACAATTGCAGCGACATTTATACCAACAAGCAAACTACAGATTTATCACTTTAAGGTTATGCAATGAGTAAGTGAACGGCCTGACATAAACATCCTGATGAATGAAGTTCAGTTATCTCATGTGACATAACCTTGGAGTAATTACGGTATTGTAAAATCAAGGGGTCAGTTTTACTGCCATTTCACACAGGTGTGAAGTTTATTTGGTCCAATTTGAAATCATGATTAAGTTACCGGTTATTCAAATCCATTTGCAAATGTAACTTGAGTATGGTTCATTTTGTGAAAATGTATCTAGGGAAGCATACTAATAAAATATTCAAAGTGAAATTACGTCTATGTTTCATAGTACCATAAAGAGAGGGTGATCTTTTCTTCCAGGAGTGGTCGTGACACGTTTCCTCACAACAGCCTAAATGAATAAAACAAATCAATTAATATACAATCTATTTGCTATATTTTTCAAAATTGTAGTATATTTTTAGATAGACACTTATTTTACTTCACCAACCTTTGAAAATAGTTCGTGCAAAACTGTTTATACAGTCAGGGGACTTAAATATACGTCAGTCGGCAAAATTCTCATAGACTTGCATGCTATTTTAGTGTAGCTATGTAATTTTCATTAATTCAGTTTTCCATATTTGGTTGTCAAATTATGCAGGCTGTTAGGAAATAATCTTGGTCACAGATACATAATTTTCCGCATTGTAGTTACATGAGCACAACATATATACAACATTGCGTATTCTTTCCCATAGACCGCCATGTTAAAATTGCCATAACCATGACACACATTGAATTGAAAATAAAACGGAAATTATGTCTTTGAAGCTGAGATGATTCAGAACCCATGTGCAAAATATGAACAATATCAAACGGATATCAAATAAATTCAAGACATATTTCTAGCTGCACCAAATTAACATGTAAGTCGAATAATGCATAGTGGCGAATACCTATGGCCACTGGCTGTAATTCGATAGATTAGCTTGTTTACCAATCCGGATTTTCTGTACGTAAAGTAAATAATTCATAAAACGTTATTTGACAACAAAACAAATTGGTCTTACCTGACAGGGTCGTGGTACTGCGAGAGTTTTCGCAGCCATTTCCATCTTTCTTTTCCAGGTAGCGAATTCTCTCTTTCAGTGCTTTGAGGGTAACTGAGGCGGCTTTGAAAATCGCGACTCGCAAAGGCTCACGGGAAAAACACTTTGTTGTTGTTTTTTAATCTAAATCTAACATTACAGTTTGACAATATCTTTCCGCGTTATACAACAAAATAAACATACACTATACACATAAAATGTCAGCTGTGTGTTTTTATAATGATTTAGGTAGTCTCGCGTGGACGTGATCCGGTCGCCATTGTTTTATTTGTTTACATTGCCGACATCAAAGGGGACCGTGAAAGGTGGAAATGAGCAGATTGAATGTGAGTACCCAACAGTGGGCTTGTATGGGCTTAAGGGTCTTCTCATCGCATTATGGGCACTAATTGCTCCTCCTCAGTGTCAAGCATCAACATGTAGGCCTGGAGAAGTGAATAAATCTGAAAACATATTCACGTTACTTTAAAAGTCCTCATCGAGCTTCATGAGTCTACTCATGAGAGAGATTGTGTTAGTGGCAAATAGGTGATTTTTCAAAACCCTGTCAGTAGTAGGCAATATACGTTCTGCTGGACGTAAAACTTCATCAGGTAAGTAATTTACCTATTGAGCTCAAAACATGCACGTGTATTAGACATGCTTATACCATGTTCATTCTTTTCAGTTCTACACCTAGATCTACGTATACCATTCCCTGTATTATAAGTTTACTTATCTAATTATATGTGATGTCAGCTCAATATATCTAAGTGAGCGAGTTTAGTATTACGCCGCACTCGGCAATATTCCAGCTATATGGCGGTATTTTTCCAATTATACCAGTACATCTTTTTTATCATTTTATTACCATTAAAACAATTATAACATAAGTAGGGAAATATTAAGAAGTAGAATACCTCCCAGAGAGGTATGACCTACATTCTATCACGTGATCAATGACCTTGACCTTGACCTTAATACCCACCCACATCATGAGTGGCTAAAACTGATCACGTGACAGATGACGTCACACATTCCAGAACCCGTGAGTCATTCATGACGTCATACTTTCTTTGATCTAAGCTATGACTCTCACCTGTGTAAACAGAGTAGGTTAATGACTTTCACCTATGTCAACGGGGTCATCCTCGTGACGGGTGTGTGTTTGTTCACGACATTCCAGAGCCCGTGAGTCATGGTACAGTGTATAGAAGATGGTAATTCAATCCACCTGGGTCAACAGACGTGGGTGTGTTTTGAACTGAAGGAACAAAGAGGTGCATATATGCCAACATCATTGTTTATTCATAAAACCTTTTTTTTTTTTACTTCCTCTTAAAAGCTTTTAAAGAAGGAAACTTGAGTGGATAGGTGTGGCCTAGTTGTAAGGCGTCGCCTATTTGTTCTCATGATGGGTTTTGGATGGAAGGGTGTGTTTCTAAGTGGAAACATCTGTGTCATCATTTTTAACAAAAAAGTGGGTGGGGGTAACTATTGTTTTTGGGAACACAATGGACTTGTGTCAACATGGGCAACTGATATATAAACTTCAATCCCACTCTGATTTGTGTTGGTGATTCTCAAACAGCCTCTGTGAGTCTTTCTCCTGCCAGTCTTCATCTACCTTCTAGCTTACTGACATCATCGTCTATCAGAATGGCCAAATACCTAAGCTGGGCATCCACTGAAGTCCTGAACTATTGTGACAAGGAGGCCTACAAACCTGAGTAGTCACCTTGTCCCATCAAGAACTTATGAATAAGTTCGATGAAGATAGGATGCATCAGAAACGGTATATTAGATGTAAGGTTAGTGAACTTCCTACCTACCGTCTGCTTCGAATTGAATCCACGATTAAGGTTACAATTGAAGAAGATAGCCTTTGGAAGTTGATTCTGACACCTGCTATGAAGAAAGGGGAGGACACAAGCTACGACATTCTCCTCAATGGCCAGTATACAGAGACACTGGAGACATCCACGCACTCTAATGTTCATGGGGCAAGGAAGATTAAAAAAAATAGGACATACAATAAAATTCAATTTCTTCTGTACCCAAGAGGAAAGCTACGATGAAGACACAGAGGCTGTCCGAGAATCATCACAGACATTGAAATAGGTGAGTAATACATTAAGAATTATTAAATGTTTTGAAATGATATCAACTTTTGAGGAACGCTTTTGAGATGTAAACTGTAAATAAATAAAATGTTGTCCTTCTTATTTCTACTTTAAATCTCCTTCAACTTTTCAGTTTGCCCTTCGTGATGTTATAGGTGACAATTCCTCAATATCATAATGTGATTGACAGTGGAAACCTCCTAAGTAATGACTTCTTAACTAAAGAAGTCTGATAAGTAAACATTATTCTTTGGTCCAGGTAAATATCTTCCTGTAGTCTCAAGAAGAAAGTGACTTAACAAAATAGACTGGGCAACTAAATAAGCAGTATACAAGTACCTATACATGCATGTGTTTGTCATCTGCAAGCTTGGATAAGTAAAGTACAAGATAAGTTAACAGTTTTGACTGATCTCTTGAAATATTACTTATCAGGTTTCCACTGTATGTCACAAAGGGTAGAATGAATGCATGCATATGTGTATAATTATCTCTGCTAAGTCATATTGTTTCTGATAGATGTCTTCTATTTTATCTTACAAAGAACACACTGTTTCAAAATAGGATGGTGTTCCTTTAGATTTTGTTTGTTTTCTACGTGAATAAACTACAAATCCTGTGTATTTAATTCTGCAGCATGTCATAGGCAATCAATGATCAAAAAGTCAATCAACTACACAACTACCACAGGAACCTAAATATATACACATATATTTCTTTTGACAAACGTTAATATGGAAAAACGAATGCTTAGAAGATAGGTTTATTGTATACTATATTGAAAAAAAATAAATCCTGTCATTTCAGGTGTTGTGCAGGACAAGATCTCAAGCACCAATCCAGTCAGTGGATACATCAGTACTACTCATCAACATAAATATGCACCTAGTTAGACAATTGTATCAAGGGATTACAAATGGACCATTATTGCAATTATTGATGTTATTAATCTGTGTGTTGTGCTGGGACAAGATCTAGAGTCGGAAACACCAATCCAGTCAGTTGATACAGTGACACTATTCATCAACATAAATATGCACCTATTTAGACAATTGCTTATCAAGGGATTACAAAATGGAACATTATTCCAATGATTGAAATTGTTAATCTGTGCGTTGTGCAGGACAAGATCTAGAGTCTGAAGCACCACCCCAATTAATATAGTGAAACCGTTGATCAACATAGACCCCTATTGAGGCAGCTGATTATCAAAGGATTACAAATGGAACATTATTACAATTATTGGTATTATTCATCTGTGCATGTATATGAACTGTAATATTTTCTTAAATATTCATTGCTATTCATTCTTCGACTTTACTTCATCAAACTATGCTTATCCCACACGGTGTAATGCACATGTACGACAAATAAAACCTCATTAGTATTATTGTTATTATTAAACTATGCATCTATATAAACCATGTAATTCTATTAAATATTCATTGCTATTCATTTTTTTTGTTGTTGTTGTTGTTGTTGTGACTTTTACTTATCAAACTAGCACGGTTTGGAACTGGACCAGGGGGTCTAACGGCTTCATTTGAGTTGAATTCCCATTTTAGTCGCCTTGTACGACAAGCATGGGATTACTGAGGTACTATTCTTACCAGTGCCCAAAGACACTCCCCTGAAACCCCCACAGGATCGAAAGAAAGTAGAAACATGTCACTAGATCTATATGATTCATCAAAGCAGGAATTGTTTTTCTTAATTTATATGAAAGCAACACTACATCAATTCCGACAATCAGTGCAGTAAAACATCAATCTATTTTCTCAGTTCATGTGCAGGTATCCAAGAAATGATATACTATTAAATTCAAACAGTCAAGGAACCCTCTTCTGTGAAAAGTAACTGTGACAATGAAAGATATGTAACCACTCATTAAATATCTGGAAGCTGAAAAAAAAACCAAACAACTCAAACATCTTTATACAAATACATAGGTAAATGTACAATCATACTTTAGACTCACCTTTATAAATGTCCATATTGCCTCCGAAATTTCTCTATCCAAAACAAACTTCGGGCAGCAGCACATCTCTCTATCAAGTCTTTCATTTCGTCCACTGTTAATAAATGGACATTGATCGAAGAAGGATTTGAAATGGATAGAGTTTCACCAACCCTATCAAACGAAAATTCCGTGTTGTCCACCCTCCTAATGAGTCCACAACAAAAATTTGGATTAACTGTCCTTGCTCTATAAATTAGGACTTCATCAAGGAAGTTCGTTAAAATGTCCGATAAAGAGCCACACACTTGATAATTCAAAATTAAGTCTTGATGAATTGTAACTTCAAAATTTCCAGTTGCATCAAAAGTATAACTAAACATCATATTTTTTTTCCCATGTCCAAACACATTCACACACACAAAACAATGCAGTTTGAGGAATGAAATACAACCTTGGAGCAACACTCTTATGTAAAACAAAGTTTCTTCAAATGAATATACCATATGGGGTGAGTGCAATACTGGGCTTGACAGAAAGTCTTTGTGTTTAATGCTTTGAGGTCGTTGCCCCTTTTACGATTTCAAGCACACATGTGTCACATGTGCTGTTCACAGTTGTTACTATACTGACGGGCAAAAGAAACTTGGCCTCCCAGTTGATTTTATCATATGTTTGTTTTCATTTGCACATATCTCAAAGTGCAGACAGGTATTATCAGAAAAAACGAAAAGTACTGACAATTAGTCAACGCTCAAAGAATACGACTGCATGGGTTTTTTAATTTTGAAATAAAATTTAATTTTAACATTTCAAAAATTAAATTTTCACAATTTTAATTTTATGAAATGTTGCTGGACATCTTGGGCGTCTTATCCTGAAAATCAATTCATTTTTATTTGTTGGTACTAATTTATAACAGCTTAAACATTGTAGGTGTAATGGCGGTGCAATTTTCATTTCTCACCCAGTCTTCAATAAACCCATTTTAAATATGCCCACAAAATCACTCAACCATAGTTTTGGTGCAAATTGTTGTAGAAATGGTTGATGATTAGTTAGACGTAATCAAATTTATCACAGCTTCCTTTACCTTTAGTTTCCATCACAAAATGCATAGGCCAAGTTTCTTTTGCCCGTCAGTATATTTATAACCGACACCAGATCTGAGCGTTAGCGATCTTTTAAGAAAAGGTCAAGTTTCCATTTTAGAACAATGACGTCATGTTACTATTTTTTAGCCAACATCAGATCTGGACGTTTTAGGATCATTTAAAAACAGGTCTAGTTTCTATTTTAGAACCATGACGTCATGTTCCTATTTTTAGCCGACACCAGATCTGAACGTTCCAGATCATTTTAAGAAATAGGGCTAGTTTCCATTTTTAGAACCATGACGTCATGTTACTATTTTTAACCGACATCAGATCTGGACGTTTCGGATCGTTTTAAGATAATAGGTTAAGTTTCTATTTTTAGAACCATGACGTCATGTTACTATTTTTAGCCGACATCAGATCTGGACGTTTCGGATCGTTTTAAGAAAATAGATCAAGTTTCTATTTTTAGAACCATGAGGTCATGTTACTATTTTTAGCCGACATCAGATCTGGACGTTTCGGATCGTTTTAAGAAAATAGATCAAGTTTCTATTTTTAGAACCATGAGGTCATGTTGCTATTTTTAGCCGACATCAGATCCGAACGTTTCAGATCCTTTTAAGAAAATAGGTCAAGTTTCTATTTTTAGAACCATGACGTCATGTTACTATTTTTAACCGACATCAGATCTGGACGTTCCAGACCATTTTAAGAAATAGGGCTAGTTTCTATTTTTAGAACCATGACGTCATGTTACTATTTTTAGCCGACATCAGATCTGGACGTTCTATTTTTAGAACCATGACGTCATGTTACTATTTTTAACCGACATCAGATCTGGACGTTTCGGATCGTTTTAAGATAATAGGTCAAGTTTCTATTTTTAGAACCATGAGGTCATGTTACTATTTTTAGCCGACATCAGATCCGAACGTTTCAGATCCTTTTAAGAAAATAGGTCAAGTTTCTATTTTTAGAACCATGACGTCATGTTACTATTTTAACCGACATCAGATCTGGACGTTCCAGACCATTTTAAGAAATAGGCTAGTTTCCATTTTAGAACCATGACGTCATGTTACTATTTTTTAGTCGATATCAGATCTGGACGTTCTATTTTTTAGAACCATGACGCCTTCATGTTACTATTTTTTTAACCGACATCAGATCTGGACGTTTCGGATCGTTTTAAGATAATAGGTCAAGTTTCTATTTTTAGAACCATGACATCATGTTACTATTTTTAGCTGACATCAGATCTGGACGTTTCGGATCGTTTTAAGATAATAGGTTAAGTTTCTATTTTTAGAACCATGATGTCATGTTACTATTTTTAGCCGAGCATCAGATCTGGGCGTTCCAGATCATTTTAAGAAATAGGGCTAGTTTTCTATTTTTAGAACCATGACGTCATGTTACTATTTTTAACCGACATCAGAATCTGGACGTTTGGATCGTTTTTAAGATAATAGGTTAAGTTTCTATTTTAGAACCATGGCGTCATGTTACTATTTTAGCTGACATCAGATCTGGGCGTTCCAGACCATTTTAAGAAATAGGGCTAGTTTCTATTTTTAGAACAATGACGTCATGTTACTATGTTTAGCTGACACCATATCTGGAGGTTTAGGACCATTTTAAGAAAAAGGTCAAGTTTCTATTTTTAGAACCATGACGTCATGTTACTATTTTTAGCTGACACCAGATCTGAACCTTTTCGGAACATTTTAAGATAAAGATCAAGTTTCCTTGCGAGGAATGACCTCATGTTGCTTTTCTTTCCCACGCGATTTGGATGAATGAAAACACCTGCAAGAACATTGTCAACAAATGACGAATGGGTAAGGAATGCAAGCAGTGCATTGTTAGACCGATGCATTTATGTACAAGTAAACAGTTGAATTTAAAGAGGAAACAGCTTCATCAACATGAGTGTATTGTTGTATGCATTCAGTATTATGTGCACCCGGCTTATTTTGCTGAAGACCACTTGTTTGACATGAATTTCTGAAGCCTTGTCTGTCTGATATCTTTCCATCCTACCATGTATGATCTTCAGTCGATACTTTCTTGGATCAACCATCATGTCGAGAAGAATGGTATTTTTTTTTCTGCTTTGACTTGTCATTGACAACACATGTATGTACCTTTTAACATGGGTGGCACCAAGGTTTTCTGCTCACATCAGACATTCTATCAAGAAGGATGTATTTTATGCCTTGACAAGTAATTGTAAACCTGTGTATGAACCTTTTAACACTGTGAGAGGAAGTAAGCACATTAAACCAATCTGGTGAATATTTATCTTGACACACACCCTTAGTTGTCCTTTCCACAAGATGTATTTGTTCAGTAAACACAACTATGACACAAGACTGAGTCCACATGTTTATGAAATGCAGTATTTTACTCAACATGAACACAAACAACACAAAGTCTATTTCCATTTTGCTAAACTTTATTAAAAAAAAAAAAAAAGTACAATGTTGTATCTTAGAGTCATAACATTCTAAAATGTTTCCAATCTTCTAAAGTCGGTCACTCCAGGAACTCCGAGACCCAGGTTTGCTTTTCACATGCAGCCTTTTTGCTTCATTATTTCCACTGCTCGACCTCATGAGACGCTTTGGCACTCGCAAACTGCGTAGGACTTTGCGAAATTCCTTATAGCCAATTGGTCTTTTGGTCAGAGGAGCACCTAGAATAGCAAAGCGAACCAGTTTCACGAGGTTTGAACTCTTTAGCCATTTTCCATCCATTGACATCATTTCCAAATTTTCATTCACTCGTAGATTCAAGTGATTGAATTTTCTTCCTGAGAAAAGAGCCACAGATTCACTAGCTTCCCCACCGTTTGGCAGAAGAAATGTTCTTGAGAGTCGATCCGAAAGCAACAAGCTTTCATCCTTGATGGTGATTGATTGGTGATTTTTGTCATCGATTGACCATCGTCCACCTGCTCAGTCACTGTCGAAGAGGCTGTCTGTGTCTGTATCTGTGAGTGCGTCCGTGTCTGCAATGTCGGTGGTGTCTCGTATCTTCTCAGCGATGCTGCTGACTCTTGGTCTTCTCGTTCCGACAACAGTCTCTGATACGTCTCTCTCGTCAGCAGGACCATGGGCTTGCTCATGATGAGGTTTGGTGTCTTTGACTTTCAAGCAAGCAGCATGGTCAAACAATGCCCTAATGCAGAAACGTAGAACGTTGTGATGTATGATTAATACCTGACGTTTTTCACGAGCTCCTACCGTCTTGCTTCCCAATGTTCGAATGAGATTCTTGTGTCTTCGCAATCTTGTTTTGTCAACGTCAGAGAGTGCAATGTTTCCTCTCAAAATGTTGTTTATCATGGTGATAATTGTCTTGAATTGTTCGTGAGAGAGATGATTCAACAAGGC